AGCAGGTGAAGGATGTAGGAACTAGGGGTCCCACGGCACATGTGGGCAGGCATCAAACCTTTCTTTCTCCTGGGCAAAAATTTCACTGATTACTTAAGAGAAAACTGGTCTGGAGAGAGTATTAATTTGCTACTATGGCAGTTTATAATGATGCAAGCTCAAGAAAGTACTTCTGCGGTCCTGAATAGACAGGCTAGAAGAATGACATCTCAGATGTCAAGTGCATGGGCTGATCTCTGAATACCAATGTAGTGGTAATATTAAAAATGAGTTTAAAAAATAGCACATTTCTCATATTTTTTAAATCATTTGTCCTGCCTCTGAGAATCTGTGCAGGGATATATAGGAAGGATGAAAACATGTTCTGTTATTTATTCCCTGATTTTTCCAGCCTACCCTCAAACAGGCAAAGTATTCACAAAGAGAGAAAACACACAGAATTATTCAGCAATTTATAATGATAGATAAGTTATCACAATAAATATTTCCACTTTTTCCATTAAAAATATTGTTATTATCCAGGAATGGTGGTGCATTCCTGTAATCTCAGCAGCTCAGAAGGCTGAGGCAGGAGAGTTGTAAGTTCAAAGCCAGCCTTAGCAACTTACTGAGGCCCTAAGCAACTTAGTGAGTCCCTCTCTCAAAATAAAAATATAAAAATGGATGGGGATGTGATTCAGTGGTAAAAAGTTCCTGGTTTCAATCCCCAGTACCAAAACCAAACAAACAAACATACTATTGTTATTAATGTCCTTTCCATGTTCATAAGAGCTTCAGTTTCATTCTACATATGTGAGTGGATCTAACTGTACCTCCCCCAATGTACACTATGATGATAAGGGCACTTTTTATCCTCGAGTAACTTAGAGTTGCTCAATGCTCTGTAAACACAGATCTCTTGGAAATGACATTAGTTTAACTTTCCAAAGGTTATGATGTCTTTTGTAGCTTTTATAATTAGTCTTATTCTGATAGTTTAAAAGATCTGTTATATAATTGTCACCAATTACAAGTCAACCCTTTCACTTGTACATATTCTCCTCTTGTTTTTGTAACTACTTGCTGCTAGAATTCATTTGTAACTTTGATTTTATTTTACCTTTTTCATTAAAGCCTTGGAGGGTGTGAGAAAGTCTGCATATTCAACACGTTTGACAAATTTGTAACAGTTGGTGGAATCCTATGAGATTCATCTTTGACTTTGATATTTGTCTAAAATCTGTCATTCAGATGCAGATTTGTTCTCAATTTCAACATCACTTCTGGAATCATTGAATTTGTGCATGATAAATAATTGTTTGATTTTTGTAAGTAATAATTACATAAATATAATTGCCATTATCATACTGTTGACAATGTAATCATAGCATGAACTGTGGGCTTTTAAAAAAATATATGTGAATATTCTGTTTCAGTTATCATATGCATTTCAGATATATCTTGAAATGAACACTTACCACTTTTCTTTTACAAAAAAGACATTTCAAAACATTGATAATTGTATAAACTCTTTTTTATTAGTTCTTTTAGTTTATACCTAACAGTAGAATTCATTTTGACATAATGATA